CAACACACACACACACATATATATATATATATATATATATCTAAATCTGTATCTATTTTAGTCATTCGCACAGAAAAACGTACACATATATTCGAAGCTTTTATCACTTCCTATAACCTTCTTACCACTACTACACACTTATTCTGCAACAGATTGCGAACTTCAGTGATTGCTTCACCGGCCGGTTACTAACGGAAATACCACAAGCTGTCGCAAGTTTTGGAGAAGCGCTAATGTATGTGGGATAAATTGTAGATGTCGGTGTATGTATATGGGAAAATGAAATGCCAATACTGATTTTGATGCGTATTAGGACACATGATTCGTTCTGTTCTTTTGCAAAGGGTGAAGTGAATTGTGGGGTTTGGCATCACTCGAAAGTCTTTTTCGATGGCACAACACTCTCGCATCCACTACCATCACTTGTCTTCTGTTATCGGTCGGAAATCGAGCACAGATTATTTTTTCGGATGTGATAACGTTTTCTTGAAGGATTGCTATTACCCGTCAAACCTCATTCCTTGTGTGATGAAAGTTTGCTACCCGTATTCACATCTCATTTTTCACATCTCATCTGCCTGAGAGTGACTGAGACTTGCAGTGATACCTTTTATACCTAGCTCGTTCTGTGTGTGATGTTTATACTCGACCCAAACTCATACCTAATAATTTTTTTAAATAGCTTTAATATACTTGGCTCGTCCTATACCATATAAACGCTACCAAATCTCATGCCTCATGCGATCGTTGTTCCATGTTTTTACATTTAGCTCATTCTGTTTCACGTATATGTTACTGTCACGTGTTGCTCGTGTATCTTCGTGTTTACTATCTATAACGTGGAGCGACAAGGTGAATCAGTCCACATACTCCACTTGTGGTGTCAAAGGGGTTGCTATCAGATCCTAATACCTTAAGCAGGCACAGCCAAGGCTATCTTATTCATGTAGCATGCTCAATGTGTTCAACAAAAAAAAGAAAGAAAGAAAAAGGTAACCTTTCACCAAATCTCATACCTCATTTGTTGTTTGCTTGTTTATCATACCCAACATGCAGGAACAAGCAAAACCTCAAAGTGATCGATTTCAGCGACAACGCCTTTGGCCCCGTTGGCGCCAGAGCTGTGCACAAACTGATCTCTCACAACATAAACTTAGAGGAACTACGCTTCGTCAATAATGGGCTGGGCACTCAGGGTGGTCAGATGATGGCTTGTAAGTCTGCTGGTGATTTTTGTATGCTTATGTATAAACGAACACGCTCGACGACACGTTGTGTGGGCCAAGCAGAGTCTGATGAATATGCATGTGTATGTATGATAGCAGGCACACGCGTATGCGTATCGTGATCCGGGTTGTTGTCAACAAGAGACCCTGCAGCAACATAACGCACGCATACGCCACATCATGAAGATACTGGCAGCTACTCTGAAGCATGCTACCAATATGATGTATAAATAAGCTACACTATTTGTACCTTTACACATACTAACGCAACCGCTATTGAAACCGCATGCATGAGCGCTGTGGATGCTGACATAGCGTGTGGCTCTATCTGCTGCCTTGCGGTCACGCGTCACGCGCGTGGTTGCTATAGAAACGTCCGTGGTATATGCATGGACAGAAGGCACAGTGAACGGAATTCAAATAGAGATTATAGCAATGGTTCCTCCGAGGCATGCTGTTGAAATGGTCTATAAATAGCATGCACAATCTGCATCTGTTTGGCGTACGCTCGTAGCTGCTACAGACACAAGGTGCGATACTACCAGAGGAGCAAGCAGCGGGTGTCAGCCTGTTACGCGTTCTGAGTATAAACTACAAACAACATTAACACTGTACACAACCAAACCTACTCTCGTAGCCGCTATAGAAACAGCATGCGACAATGCGGAGGAGGCTGGCAGAGATTACGGATTGAAAACGTTCAAAGCAGGCCGCAACCGTTTGGAAGATTTGGCGGCAACGGAGCTGGCGGAATCATTCAAGATGTGCCCCCACTTGAAGGTGTGTGTTTGTGTAGGTGGAGTATTGTATATACCAACATACATGTAACACACACACACCAAACAAACCTCACACTCACATACCCACCCACCCACCCATCCACTCACACATAAGCACACACACACATTTATATATATGTATATATGGACACATACACACACACACAAACACACACACACA